ACTGCCTGTCACTCCTCTAGTTCCAGCAGACGTCAGAGCATGCACTCTTCTCTTGCTCTGTGGTGGATGTCTTCTCCCAGCTCAACCAGAGCTTTGAGATCATCAAGAAGCTCGAGTGCCCTGACCCGCAGATTGTTGGGCACTACATGCGAAGATTTGCCAAGGTGGGCAGCTGCCAGGGTGGGGGCTGCTGGGTCAGCAGAACCCCTGGAACCCCAGTCCCAGCCCTTGCCAGGGGTTCCTGGGCTCTCTCAGCTGTCTCCCATCCAGCAGCAGGCAGCGGCATAGGGCACAGGTTGCATCACCTCCGACAGTGATGCTCAAGCGAACATGCCACCAACTGTGGCTCTCTCAGCTTTACTAGCACAGGAGATTAGCTAATTAATGCGCTAATTGGTTATTTAATATAGATTAATTTAATGCACTGTCTAGCTGCAGTGTGGGAGGGAGTTGCATGCAGGTTTGGTGGCTGATGTCTTCACAGTTGTGCTGGTGATGGAGCTGCCCATGGAGACCAGATGTACTGGATCTGACTTCTAGTGGCTGTACCCATGTGGCTCCTGGTGCATTCGTGGGGCCTAGGGGAAACCCTAGGATTCGTGGCCCCCTAGGTGGCATTGGGTTGTTTCACTGCTGTGGGACTCACGGTCTCCTTTCCCTCCTTCCTCCTCTCTTCTGCCGTCTGTGTGAATCCCATCCCTCATTTGGCTGCAGACCATCAGCAATGTGCTACTCCAGTATGCTGAGATAATCTCCAAGGATTTTGCCTCGTACTGCTCCAAGGAGAAGGAAAAAGTGGTGATGTATCTCCCTTCTGCTTGCCACCTGCCTGGTGCTACCAGGCAAAACTGTCCCCACACAGTGACCTCAGCTCCAGAACTGGTCCCCATGACACAGGTCCTGCCCTCGGTCTCTGATGGCAGTCCCTTAAATGCTTCCAGGCAGGGCTCCATGCCATGACTGTTTTCATGTCCCCTGGTGCAGGGTGGGAGGGACCTGGGGCAGTGGGCAGCTGTTCCAATCACATTTGTTGGTGCTGACTCCCCTCTCCAACCTGCCCCTCCAGCCCTGCATCCTGATGAACAACATCCAGCAGCTCCGTGTCCAGCTTGAGAAGATGTTTGAAGCCATGGGTGGGAAGGAGGTACGTACTAGGGGTCTGCAGGAGGCAACCCTGTGGAAGGGCTGGATCAGTCCCTTCTCCCCAGAGGCAGCCCCTTCCCCAGCTCCACAGTGCTGAGAGCAGACCACAGTTCCTCACTCCTGTATGGGATCTGACTGTCCCACCCCATGGCACCCTGCTCTCCCACCGTGTTGGACAACGGATGGGCTTTGCCCTGCCCAGGGGTGCTTTTGGGGTGCAGAGACACCCACCCCCTGGGGCTGGGCCAGGGACCCTGATGGCTTCTCCAACCTGTCCCTCCTTCAGCTGGACACAGAAGCCAGTGATATACTCAAGGAACTGCAGGTGAAACTCAACAATGTCCTGGATGAGCTGAGCCGAGTCTTTGCCACCAGGTACACCTGGATGAGAGGGCATGGGTGGGGGGCCAAGGAGAGGTTTTGGGGTCCAGAAGCTGTGGCTGGGGCCAGGCTGGGGGCTTTGCTTGGCCAAGCAGGTCCTGGGTGCAGCCATGGGGGATGCTGAGCTGCCTGGGTGTTGTGGTCCACAGTTTCCAGCCTCACATTGAGGAGTGCGTGAAGCAGATGGGTGACATCCTGGGCCAGGTGAAGGGCACCGGCAACGTCCCCGCCAGCACCTGTAGTAGTGTTGCGCAAGATGCTGACAATGTCCTGCAGCCTATCATGGACCTTCTGGACAGCAAGTGAGTGTGGGGGAGGGAACAGGGACCCCCACCCTCCCCCATGCCCCTGTCCCACCCTGGGAGTGTGAGGGACCTGCAGGGTCAGGGTGACCGGGCAAGGGGTGGTATCGGGTGCCATGCCAGGACTTTCAGCCCTGTCCCCTATCTGCAGCCTGACACTCTTTGCCAAGATCTGCGAGAAGACAGTACTGAAGCGAGTACTGAAGGAACTCTGGAAGCTGGTGATGAATACGATGGAGAAGACTATCGTCCTGCCCCCACTCACTGACCAGACGGTGAGTGACAGGGAGGGCACCCAGGGATGGAGGACCCTGGTGCTGAGACACAGGTGGCTGACTGGGGCCAGTGTGGGACATTGCTGGCCAAGTGCCCTCACTGGCTGCTGAGGGAGTGGGGACTCCAGCAGCCTCCCCAAACCTGCCCTTAGTTCATGGCCAGGGAAGGGATGGAGGAGAAAAAAGTCATCCTTGACCCAGGTGCCTGGTGCAGCCCAGCACCCTCTCGGCTGGCTTTCCCAAAGGACCTTCCTGCCACCTCCATCATGGCACCAGGAGAGGATCACTGGTCCTGTCCTCTCCATCCTTCCCTCTGAACTGGGGCAGCATCCCATGCCATGCTCATCAGCACTGGCTGTGGGCACAGTCCCTGTGCCAGGAGGTGGATCAAGAGGCTTTTGGAGTGTGGGAAACCACTGCATGTTGGCCTTGCTGTGTGGCTAGGGTTGCTTGCGGAGCAGAGACTCGCTTCATGGGGATGGGGGTGATGTGGGGATGGTGGGACATGTCCCTGCAGCAGGGTTGAACTCTTCCTTGCTCATGGGCTGACCAGGCTCTAGGGGAGCAGAAGCAAAGCCCAGGGAATGGTCCCTCCTCAGAAGAAGGTTGCCTACAGGGTTCAAGACTCCTTATCACATTGCTGTGTGTCTGTCCTCCCCACATGTAGCCATGCACCCTGAAGCTTCCCAGGGTGGCTGTTCCTTTTGGTTCAGGCAGGGAAGGGTGCCCCTATGCTGAGGGCAGGGGAGGTGGCATGGGCATGTGGATCTTGGGTGATTTTCCTGAGGGGAGGCAGTCCTTGGAGGGGGCTGTGCTGGGCTGGTCCCTACAGCAGGGGACAGCCTGCCCAGGGTGGCTCTGGGCCCCAGCCAGGGGTGGCTGACCAGGTTGGTGTCATGGGGACATGTGTCAGAGCCGAATGTCAAGTGGGGTTCACCAGCACCCTGGAGCTGAGGCCCTCCAGGGCAGAGCAACCTGCCATGGTGAGGAAGGACTGGGCAGTTTGGGATGGGGCCACTTTGGGGCTCTGAAGGCCTGTGGTGCCAGTTGCAGGGCATCACTGCCAGGTACTGTGGCACGTCAGATAGGGAACACCCCTGGCTCTACTGTCCCTCCTGGCTGGCAGTAGTGGGGGGCAGCTGGGGCTGGGAAGGAAGGAGGAGGGGCCGACACTCATGTCACGGTTGTTCTCTCCAATTGCTCTGCTCGCCTCTCAATGGCAGATGATTGTAAGTACGGCAGCTCCCTCCCTGTCTGTCTGTCTGTCTCTCTGCTGTGTGTCGGTCCTGGCCTCACCGGTTTTTGTCTTATGTGGCTGCCTGCGCCCTGCCCACATCCTCCTCCAGCTCCCAACTTGGTCCACCTCTGTGGTCCCTATCCTTGTGCTGCCTGCTTGGCACTGGCAGGCACTTGCCTGCGGCCTCAGCTGGGTTTGGGGGGTGGAAAGGTCCCAGACAAATTTGTGGTGCCTGGATGTGAGGAAGTGCAAGGGTTAGTGATGGTGTGGGAGGGGATGGTGACGGGGCAGTGCCATGTAATCAGGGACAGCCAAACTCAGGCTGATCCCATCTTCTTGGTCCATGCTGAGAGTGGAGACACAAGCAGGGGGAACAGTGCGTGCCTGGCAGTCAGGGCTGCTCTTCCCAACCCCTTGTGCCTCAATTTCCCCTTGAGGTCCTGGCTGGGTTGTGACTATGGTGGGGGCTGAGGGCAGAGGCTTTCCCTGCCTGTGGAGAGGAGCATCTTGCTGGGATGTGATGGTCCCTGGCCTAGTTGCTTAGATGTGGGGCAGGTTGCTGGCACGAGTTGTAAGACTTTCCCTGGTTGGGATATGGCCCTGGGAGCCTGGACTCCTGGGTTCTCGGCATTGCTGCTGGGTCCATTGCACAGCTTTGACTGAGCAGTTTCCTTTTGCCCTCTTCTGCTCAGTCTGTGGCCATGGGCTTATGCCCTGCGGAAAGGGCCACGTCCTCCACCCAGTCCTGCCCCCACCCCTGCTTTGACCACAGGCACCTTCGCGAGAGTGGTGCAGGCATTGGTGGTTGGGTGCTGAGTGCCAACCCCTGCAGGGACAAACGCCTGTCCCATGCCCCCAACACCTTTTGTATCCAACAGCAGCATTTGGAGAGATCCTGGGGGCAGCCTGGGACTGAGCCTCGCCTCAGACCTCATGGGAACCCCATGTGCCAGCCTTGCTGAGGCTGCCAGGTGACTGGGGTGGTGTCAGCTCTACGTGGTACAAGGTCTTCTTGAGCACCCATCACTCTGTGCCTCAGTTTCCTTCCACAGCAAGAAATCCTGCTGGCAGCCCCACTTGGCCCTAACTGTGCTGCTTGTCCATCCTGCAGACTTTCCTGCCTGCTGACCCCCACCATGCTACCCACTCCTGATTCAGATGTGCCCCAGCCCCCAGCTAAAGGCTGATTAGGAAGCCTCCCCCATGGCACTGCTGCCCCATTTTGCACTGTTTCTCTTGCCGCTGCTGGGCCTGGGCCAGTGTGGGGTTGTCACTGCATGAACCAGAACTCTGTGTGCAAAACCCAAGTGCAGCTGCCTGCTCCGCCCTCCCCAGTGCTGTGAGCATTGACCAGAGCTGGAGGGAAATGTGGGGGCACCAGAGGCTGCCCATATATGGTGCCAGCTGGCTCCTGCCTCCCTATATCTCAGTGAGCACCAGTCCCCCATGGCTTCAGCATCCCCATATCCCAGCAGAGACCAGCTACCCATAAGCACAGCATCCCAGTGTGGGGACCAGTTCGCCATCAGTGCAACATCCTACATTTCAGTGTGGACCAGTTGGCTCAACATTCCAAAGACACCAGCCCCTCACTGACCCAGCATCCCTCTGGGGAACAGTCCTCTACTAACCCAGTATCCCAGTGGGGACCAGTCCCCCATGGGCCCAGCACTCCAATAGGGACCAGTCCCCCATGGGCCCAGCACTCCAATAGGGACCAGTCCCCCATTGACCCTAGCTGCCCTGCAGGAGCTCAGCGATGTCTTTGCCACCAGCTTGTGGCCACCCTTTGTGCCTAGCCTTGCCCTGCACTCCCCATGTCCCACCCCACACTGTCACCCCACCCCACCACTCAACCTCTGACGTTGCTTCTACAGGGCACGCTCTTGAGAAAACATGGCAAGGGGACAGAGAAGGTAAATAGTCGTGGGCTCCATGTGTCATTGCCCTGTGGCCACGTCGTGGCCCCATACTTGCCTGCTGTGGAGGTCCAGGCTTGTCTGTGCTTCCTCTGTTGTGCTGTCTGGATGTGCCGTTGCCTGTGTGGTGTGTTGTCGTGTTGAGGTGTGCCACGTTGTCTGGGATGTACTGCCTGTGTGCAGGATGGAGGCAGTGACCTGTTTCTGTGTGTCACCTGGGGTAGGGAGTGGGTGTTGTGTTGTGTTTAGCCCCCGTGGGTGGCCCGTGGGTGTTACCTGTCCCTGGGCAGGTACAGGGGTTGTTGCCCCCATGGCACTCAGCACCCCTCCAGGTGCCTGACTGGGACAGCGTTGGTGCCCGGCTGGGACAGCGTTGGTGCCCAAGCACAGGAGATCCTGGGCACAAACCAGTCCCACCACTGGGGACTTACGAAGAGGTGACCCCCCAGGATGCTGGGCTGTGCTAGCAATGTGCAGGGCACCCTGGGGGCCATGTGGCTGCTGAGACCCCCTGGACCTCTGAGCCCACTTCCCTTTAATGCTTAGGGAGCCCCAGCAAGGCTCTCTGAGCCCCAGAACTTGCCAAAAGGGCTTTCTCCAGGCACACGGGCTCTCCCTCTGTCTGTGAGCTCTTCACTGCTGTGCTGGGGGCCCAGCACAGCCCTCCAGGCTGCCTGATCCCAAAACCGGGCTCTGGGAAGAGCAATGCTGGCTTCTGTCTGGGCAATGCCTGCAGCTCCCCCTGGCTCCCCAATCCTCTTGCAGAGGACACTGGGTCCTGCTCCAGTTTGCTGAGCGTGCTGAGTGAGCTGCTTTCCTCCACCTGACGCTGTTTCCTCAGCCCCAAACAAGGTGGGGAGCAAGCCTGCCCCAACTCGGGAAGAGACCTGAAAAAAAAGCAGTCAGCATGGAGAGCTGAGCCTTTGCACGTGTGAACTGGTGCCGAACCAGTGGTGAACTGGGCACAGCCAGAAGAGTACAGCGCCAGAGCCCACACGGCCAGGGGATGTGGGGGTCCTGGACCTGTGGCTGGCTGCTGCTGGGGCCACCAGTAACTGTCCCTTGCTGTTCTCTTCCAGAGCAGGGTGAAGCTGCCCAGTCACACTGAAGTAAGGACATGACTCTTCTCCTCCCCACTTGGCTCTGATCCCTCCTCTTGCCTCCTCCCTGTCCCTCTCCCACGCACTGTGGGATGGGGGTGTTTCCCAGCTCAGGACAGTGTCCTGTCGTGCTATGTTAGAGTGACACGGGTGTCACCAGCTCCCAGCCTGTTCACTGGGCTGGGGGAGATGGGGACAGTAAGGGAGGGATTAGTGGGACAGAACTTGGGTGGGGGGCACAAACGGTTAATGGGGTTTATAAAATGAGGGCATGGGCGGGGGGAAGGTTAGTGGGATAGATGCTGAAGTTTCTTGTTGAGAAGGACTGGAGCTACTGGTGCTGGGAGAGGGAAGAAAGTAGGAATTACTGGTTCTCCTCCACTAGGCCCCAATTTACCCAGTTGCATGTTGCACACTGGAGGGCTTGAGAAGGGGAGGTTGGGCTCAGCCTGGTGAGCAGGTGACAGACCAGGGAGGTGAGCGGGATCTGCCCCTGCTATGGGGCTGCGTCCCCAGGAGCCATACCAGTGGGCCCTGCCCATGGGAGTGGCACGGCACAGGGCAGGAGGAAGCAGCCAGAGGCTCCCACCCACTGTGCTCCCTGGGGGGCAAACTTCCCTGGGGCTGGCATTGGGACTGGGCAGGGGTCTGGGTCGCTGGGTGTTGTTTGGCTTGGCTGCCAGTGCTGCGGGGTACAGGGGGACTGTGCTACATCCTTCCAGTGCCCGCTGTCCCCCTGCACTCACCCTCTGCTTCCCCAGCACCTATGTGATACGATTGTCCATATGGTGCCAGTGATGTGCCATGCTGGGCTCTGTTGGATGCAGAAGCTGGTGCTTGGGCACCACAGGGAGCAGGATGGGACCCTTGGGCCAAGATGCTTTTGCTGAGCAGGATGTGAGGTCCCTGATGTGAGGGTGATGTTCTGTCCTGGGTGCCTCAGTCCCCAGTCCCCAGTGCTGAGAACTCGGGGGCTGGGACAGGGGCTGCACCAGCTTCCTGCACCTGCATCGTAATGCCTGGCATGGCCAGTGGCCCCTGGGGCTCTCTGAGGAGCAGCCCTTTGGCTCCTTGAAGCCTGGAGGGCTGGGGGAGCCCCTGGAGCTGCAGGAAGCTCCTGGCACCACGTGCCCAGCCTGGCAATTGCACCTCCAGCCTGGCTGCTCAATGGGGCTATTCCTATCTCTTTGCTCTCTGCAGGGCACGCAGATGATTTTCAACGCAGCCAAGGAGCTGGGGCAGCTCTCCAAGCTGAAGGTGAGGGCTGGGAGGCTGGGCTGGGTGGGGCCAAGTGGTCCCTGTGCTAGGGTGGGTGACACTTTGCAGGCTGGCACTGGCACTGTTGCAAGGACCCTACCAATGTTCATTTGCTGCCACAGCTGGGGTGAGGGGAGCGGGGCCCTGCTCACATGCTGAGAGCAGGATTCATGCTCTGTAGGACCACATGGTGCGAGAGGAAGCCAAGAGCCTGACCCCAAAGCAATGTGCAGTGGTGGAGCTGGCGCTCGACACGATCAAGGTGAGGGCACTCTCAGGTATGAAGGGGTGCCCTTGAGGACTCTAGCCCTGAGGCACAGACCTAGAGGGGCACCAGGAGAGCTCCAGCAGAGCCACTGAGGACCCTGTGGCCATTTCCCCTCTCCAGCAATACTTCCATGCTGGCGGGACTGAAGAAGACATTTCTGGAGAAGAGCCCTGACCTGCAGTCACTGCGCTACGCCCTGTCCCTCTACACTCAGGCCACTGACCTCCTCATCAAAACCTTTGTGCAGACCCAGGCTTCGCAAGGTAAGATGCACTGCTGGGGCCACCTCCCATCCGGGCTCCCTATCCCCACACATGGGCTTGGCTGCCCCACAGCCAGGCCCCTACCCTGCCTCCGTCCTGGTGGGGTTGAGGGTCTCAGCTAGGCTTGTGGAGGGATGGGTGGGGAGGGAAGGGCTTTTTCCTCCCATGTTTTGGAGGTGAAGACAGGCCATGGGTGCCCAAAGACAGCCTGGCACCCCCAAGTTTTCCCACCAGTAAGGACAGCCTGTCCTCAGTGCCAGGGCATGACTGGACTGGCACAGAAATGGGGCCTGTGGGTGGGTGAGACACCCTCTGGCCACATGTCACAGTGTTTATCCCCTTTGGATGGCCCCTGTCACCCTGCACAGACACGTCTGGTCCAGTGCTGCCTTGGAGCTGCCAGTCTCTGCCAAGTGGCGCCAGCCTGTCCAGGGCTCAGACCTCTCACAGGATCGACTGAATCCAGATACTGTGTCAGGGCCTTTCCTAGGCAGGCTGGGTGCCTCATGTACCACGATTTGGGATCCATCCAGGGTGCTGGGTGCCTCTCAGGTGCTGCCCCCATCCCAGAGCTATGTGGTGCAGGGTGCTGGACACCCTCCAGGGCAGGACTAGCTCTCAGCTCTAAGTGTTGACCTTTATTTTGTCCCTTGACTGCTCGAGGAGGGGACAGATGCTCGGTGGTGGTCATAAGCCATCACATAGGGCCCAGCCAGGCTTGTCTGCATCCTGGGGGAGTGGAACGTGCTTTTGCTGTCTGTCCATCTCCTGCCAGGGACGTCTGTCCTGTCTGTGCCTCCTGTGCCAGCCATGTTGGGGACATGGGGTTGGGTCCGGTGAGTGCGAGCACCCCAGGGTGCAATCTGTCCCCAGGACCAGCTGGGCTTAGAGCTGGGTGCTGCCCAGCACTCCGGTGTTGCTGCAGTGTTGTCTGGATGCTCGGCTGTCCATCTGTCTGTGAGATCTGATCTCTCTTTCTCTCTCTTTGTTTTCTCCCCCCTCTTTCACTGTTCCCATTCCCCACAAATGTTGTCTCCATCCTCCTCTCTTCATCTGCTCTGTGCCATGTCTCTGTCTCTTTCTCTCTCCTTCCCACTAGTTCATGGTGGGAAAGGTATTAGGTTTACCCTTAGTGAAGAAATTTATCCTGAGAAGGGTATGTTTGCTGCTCACCTGCCCCTGCACCTGCCTGCTGCCGCTGCCCTGGGCTAGTAACAGTCCTGGCACTGTGGGCCTAGGTGGCCAGGAGCCCCGTCCCAGCACCACTGCCCTTGGGGACCCCTAGCGTGGGCAGAGCTAGAGCCCTCTGCCCATGCACTTGCACTCCCAGGGCTGCACTGGGCTGAATTTGGAGGAACTGTGCTGAGCCACATTGACCACCTGCCTAGACCAAGGAGGGGGCCTGTGCCCCGTGGGGATAGGCCTGCCTGCCTTCACTTGCAAGCTCTGGACAGACGGCCCCAGTGCTGCTGCCTGGGGGTGGGCACCTGCCACGACCTCCCTGCAAGTCAGGGAGCTGTCCCCTTGGGAGATGTGGCTCCAGGGGAGGCCATGACCATGTCCATGTCCCCCCTCCCATCCCCATCCTGCCAGAAGGACCATTACTAGCCTTGCTCCGGCAAGCTCTGTCCACCTGCCCTGGGGTGTGAGGAATGAGCCCAGCCCCATGGGCCCTGCTTGGCCACCATTGCACCCTGCCACAGGGGCCAGGACTGCACCCGATGCTTGGCCTCCCATACCCAAACACCCCCTCCTCGCCCACCATCACCTCCATTTCGGCTCAGCATGCGGCACTGCCCGGGTAGTGGGTGCCTGGGAGGATGGGGTGCCAGGGGTGGGGCAGAGGATGACCATGGATAGAGAGGAGAGTGTGCCACCACCAGCCTTGCACCCTGGCACCCTCATGCTGGGGGCCATGCAGTGACACATGAGGATGTGTCCTCCTTTGCACTGTTATTTCCACCCTGAGAGCTTTCCACTGAGCTTGGTTTGATCTCCTTGGCCCTGTCTGACCCATGGAACCTGTCCCTCTGCCTTGCACCCCCCTTTCACCATTGGGTGCATGCACAGCTCTTGGGGTGGAGGGAGTGGGCTGGGTTGTTGGTCGCAGGTCACCCAAATTCCCCAGGCTCGGGGAGCCGAGGGCTTGATGTGGTCCTTGAGATGAAGGGGACACAAAAGGGGACAGGTCAACCCCAAACCCCTGGCAGGGCCATGGCTGCCCTGTGGCACAAGGGCCAGATTGGGTCGCTCATGCCCAGTGCTGTGCCCATGCTCATAGCCATGCATGGAGCACTGACACCCCCCACCCCCATGCCCATAGTAGGGGGAGCTGGGCCACTGTCCTCTGCCCCATCCCACGCAGACACCTCAGCCCCTGCCTGGGCAAGAGGGGCTTGCTGGGCTTTGCTGATGTGGGGTGGGATGACAGAGAGCCGACCTGGTGCTGAGGATGTCCTGCCGTGCCCCAGCCCAGCCTGGTGCCAGCCCCAGCTGTCCTTTACAGTTGCTGCACCCATGTTGCTGTCCCCAGAACTCTTCGGCAGAGGCCATGTTGGGCCAAATCCTACTTCCCACCCCATCCCACTCCATGGGGGTGACCTGCCTCCTCCAGAGGGGTTGGTGGTGGGCAGGGGACATCAGGGAAACAGAAGGAATGGGCACTCACGTCTCCTCCCTTTGCCATGCAGGCTCTGGTGTGGATGACCCTGTTGGGGAGGTGTCCATCCATGTGGAGCTCTTTACCCACCCCGGCACTGGTGAAAACAAAGTCACTGTCAAAGGTGGGTTCTGCCAGCTGTGTTGCCAGGGTCTGGCAAGTGGCAGTGCCTTGCGAGCCTCACATGCCCCTTCCTTGCAGTGGTGGCTGCGAATGACCTCAAGTGGCAGACATCGGGCATCTTCCGGCCCTTCATCGAGGTCAACATCATTGGGCCCCACCTCAGTGACAAGAAGAGGAAATTTGCCACCAAATCAAAGAATAACAGCTGGGCTCCCAAGTACAATGAGAGCTTCCAGTTGTGAGTGACACTGTGGGGCTGGGGATGTGGGGCTGGGCTAGGGGCTGTGTCCCCATGACGTGGGGAACTTTTCCTCCTGGGGTCTGCCAGTGAGTTTGCTCATTCCCCCAGGATGTTTTAGGTATTTTCTCATTGGTAAAAGTGGGGATTGGGGAAAAGGAAAGAAAAGGCTTTTTAGGGGCAGTGGGAAGACAGCACCCATACAGGGTGCTGTTGAAGAGCCAAGGGGCCTGGGAGTGTTACCCTTATGTTACAACTGCCTGTCCCTTGTCTCCCTGCAGCACGCTGGGGACGGAGACAGGCCCCGAGTGCTATGAGTTGCAGGTGTGTGTGAAGGATTACTGCTTTGCCCGGGAGGATCGGACAGTGGGCATTGCTGTCCTGCAGCTCCGTGATATCCTGCAGCGACCTGGCTGCGCCTGCTGGCTGCCCCTGGGCCGCCGCATCCACATGGATGACACTGGCCTCACCGTCCTCCGCATCCTCTCCCAACGCAACAATGATGAGGTGGCCAAGGAGTTCGTCAAGCTCAAGTCGGACACACGCTCGGCTGAGGAGGGCAGCAGTTAAACCCTTTCCACCCCCCAGCCCTCTCCCTCCATGCCTGGCCCCTTTTCTACAGCATCCTCCAGCCATGTATAAGCCATAAGAGCGACCACAAGAGGAGTCTCCTTCCTGGCCCTGGTGTGGGTGAGAGGGGGATGTGGCTACAGTGACAGACCTCCCCTGACCCTCCCTTGTCCAGAATGGCAGGGTGACAGTGGTGCAGAGCATGGCCGTGTCCCCTTCCCACCCTAAAGGGAAGGTGCTGGGGCTGATGGTTCTGCAGGGAAGGCCTGGACCCCAGACTGGGCAATAGGATAGATCTGCCCCTTCCCAGCTTGTCTGAGATGGAAGAACCCCAGTGGCCTATCCATGACCCTACTCTGTCCTACGCAGCCCCAAACCTCATCAAGCAACTCAAGGAAAGGGCTGGGGTGGGGATGGTGTCTCATCCCACCCCAGAGTGTTGGTGAGTGGCTGGCACAGCAAGATGGCCCCTTGTTCTCATCCCTTGAGCATCACAGGGTGCCCTGAGGGACAGGGAAGCTCCCATCAGCTGAGCGTCCTGTAGATATGTAAATAGTTGTACATACATGGGGCAGCTGGATATGTGACTGTGTTCTGCACCTGGAAGGGCTATTGGGGCTGTTGAGTTGGTGGGCGCTGCCCCCACATGCCCCACACAGGGTTCCCTCTCTGGCTGGCAGAGGCATCACCAGGGCCGGGAGTGGCAGGGAACAGCCCCCGGCCCACCCCGTTCTTTTATCCTGTCTTCCCTGCCTTGCTGCCACCATGGGCTGCCCCACTGCCTCCCTCAAGATGCCAAGGCTTGGGTTCAAAGGCTGGGGGCACCAAAGCAGAAGGACCCATCTCCCTTTGCTCTGGCCAGTGGGGACCAGCCATCCCTGTGCAGTGCAGCAGTGCCCATGAGACCTCCTTGGCGCAAGCAAGACCCTTCCCACCCCCCAACCCAGAGGACCCTCCCCCCACAATTTCCTATTAACCACCATTTCTGTGTGATCAGTGGTGTGCGTGTCTTGTGTGCGTGCCCGGGAGGCCAGGGTGCACAGTGTTGGTGATGGCCACTCCAGCTGGCCAGCTTGCCCTAAGTACTGGGGAAGACAGAGGCCTGATGACCCCACAAGTCAATATACCTCTCTCAGCCCCCTTCTCAGCCCAAAATAGGGTGCCCTGACTGGCCCCCATGGTCCTTTTTCTATAGGTTTCCTGGGACCAAAGGGTTTAGCTTTCCTCTCTTGTTTCTCTTCAATGTTTACACCCCTTTTCTAACCGCTGCTCCTGCACGGCCAGGCTGGGGCTCAGCCCTGCACTACCTGAATGTGGTGCCCCTGGCCCTGTTCCCCCTCCCCAATCTGTCCTGTTTGGCATGTGATTGAACTGACCAATTCTGCTCCTGTAGCACATGTGTCACCGATGCCTGTGTGTCTGTACCACCCCGTGTGGCACTGCCGCCGGCGGCTACCATGGATGCATGACAGTGAGATGTTTTGCACTATTTTGAATTTTTTGGGCTCTGTAAAAATATTTTATTATAACTGACATTAAAAAGCACACCCTTCACTGCAGCTACTGTGGAGGTGTGGGAGGGCAAGCATCCAGGGGGTCTTCATAGAATGTTGTGAATTGGAAGGGACCCACAAGGATCATCAAGTCCAACTGCTGTCCCTGCACAGGACAATCCCAACATTCAGACCATGTGTCTGAGGGCCTTGGCCAAATGCTGCTGGAATCTTGTCAGGCTTGGTGCCATGAGCACCTCCCTGGGGAGCCTGTTCCAGTGCTCCACCACCTTCTGCCTCAAGAACCTTTTCCTCATGGCCAACCTCACCCTCCCCTGCCACATCTTCCTGCCATTCCCTCTGCTCCTGGCATTCGTTGGTGGCCAGAGAGAAGAGATCAGCGCCTGCCCCTCCTCTTCCCCTTGGGAGGAAGTTCTAGATGGCCATGAGACTTCATCCTCACTCCTCCTCAGTGCAGCACTTGCACGTTTAAGGTTAACACCAAGGATAAATAACTGACACTGCAGCAACTCTTATCTGCGCTCAGCCTCCTGGAGGGCTGCTCTTCAGTGCACCCACCCTTTGTAAAGCTAAGAGCTTCAGGACAGGGATTAAATGAAACTGGGACAGACCTGTCCTGAGAAGTGACGTTCAATTCTCAACCACCATGCTGCAAACTCCCAGGCACAGGAGTGATTAGAGAGTGCCAACATGGCCTCACCAAGGGCAAATCCATGCCTCACTAATCTAACGGCCTTCCACAATGGAGTGGCTGCATCAGTGGACAAGGGAAGAGCTATGGATATAATCTTCCTGGACTTCTGTAAGGCTTTTGACATAGTCCCCCAAAACATTCTTTCCACTAAATTGGAGCGATACAGATTTGATGAATGTGGGGACCCGATGCCCTACAGAGAGACCTGGGGCTTTTGCTGGGGCCGGGGCAGGGCTGTTCTCTCCAGAGAGCCCTGGGACTTTCACTGGGCTTTGTTGTGTTCCGAGTGGGGCCCTGATGATGTATAGAGAGTGCCAGGACCTTTGCCAGCCTTTGTCTGGGCCTGGACAGTGTTCTGCTGCCATCCAGATTGCCCCGAGGCCTTCAATAAGGCTTGCTGGAAGCCTCAAGGGGGGCTGGTGCCCCCAAGAATGCCCCACGGGCTTTGTGGGGTGCCATTAGGAGCTCTGCTTATCTACAGAGTTCCCCAGGTCCTTTGCCAGGCTTGCAGATGCTTGGGCAAGGACCTGCTACCCTCCAGAGAGACCCCTGGTGCTGACGCCAAACTTTGCTAGGGCTGGTCAGGGCCCTGCTGCTCTCCAGAGAGCCCTGGGGCATTTGCCAGACCTTTCCGATGCCTGGGAAATGCCCTGCTGCCCCCGAGGAGTGAGGAGGAGGTTCTGCACTGCATGGTGCACCAAACACTCATCCTCACCCTAACAGGACCCCAGGTCCAAAACAGACACCCCACCACCTAGGACTACAACACAGCAGTTGCCAGGACTGAAAGCTGTGGGTGACAGGGGTGAGGGACTAAAGCTCCCTGCATTCCGTGGGGGATAAGGGACTGCACCGCTCAGCATGCCACTGGGAGCGGGGAGGGCAGGCGGGGAGGACGGGAGAGACTACAGTTCCCAGCATGCAGGGGACGGAGGGCGGCGAGGGAGTACAGCTTGCTGGCTGCCACCAG